TAAGCATAGAAGTTTCTCCCACACAGAGAGCTTCACAACACAAAAAATAAAGAAAAAGATGCACTACCTTGTAAGTTTTCTTTTCAAGACTTGTTCACAGCACTGTTAGAAGCAGCAAGATACTGGGACCCTTTCTACCCTCCATGTAGAGGGTGCAGGCCATCAGTGTGGGCCATGGGAACCAGGGAAAGCTACAGGGATGCTGAGCTCAGTCTCTCTGGGCTCACAGGGAAAGAGGTCAAGGAATCTCATTATGAAATAACACATGGATGCAAGATGGATGTGTGTGTGTGGATGGTCTCAGGTTTTACAATGTAGTATCTCTGACATCAATGTGTGTATACACAGAGATGTGCATGAGACAGAGTGACAGAGGCAGAGCAAGGCAGAGTCTGGGAGATTTGCCCATCACTTAGTGAAGCAGAGCTACAGAGGCCAGAAATGTGAATGATTTTCTTGGTTTTACTCTCAAAGTCCTTATTGGACAATGTCATCTTTGTGAGGGGAAGTAGCACAGGAATCTATCAGGAACCTGTGAAACAGATAAATGTAACCAAAATTTCTTTTTTCTTTTTCTAAATCTGGCATTTATAAAAGCATATATTAATGACACAAACATAGTTCTCCAGTACAGAGTCCTCCTTGGACTTGTCATTAGCAGCCTCACAAGACAGAAAAAGGGGCAGAAGGTCCATATAAAGGTGGAAAAGAGGTGTTTCCTTAGTTGAAGAAATGTCACCTGAGAAGCCTCACTTAAACCAAACAGAGGTGCCCTTTCTTCCCAGGGTGTGGGGGGAGGGCATGGAGACAGCACAGAGTACACGGATGGGTTGGAAGAGGACCAGGACTCAGCTGTAGGAGAGGTCACAGTATCCGGACCAGGGCCACTCAGTCTTTGCTTTTCTTCCTCAGTTAAAAAAAACAAAAAACAAAAAACAAAAAACAAGAAAACAACACAACTATCAGGTGAGAAGAGTTTCTGAAAAAGGAGCCATGAAAGACACATACAATAGAACCACATTACATTTTTAAAAGGTATTTACATATAAGCTGTTTGTACATTGGCTTGTTCTGTGGGAAAGGCGGGAAGTCATACACCACTGAGCTGCTTCACAGATATCAACATACTTGCTGTTGATTCCCCTCAGTAAAAATCCTTCAGTGCAGAAATAGAGTTGACAGAAGGAGAGATTCAATTTCTCTCATCCCCCAATGAAGAGGAATTGAAGATTGTGTCACAGGCTCCGATGGCTCTGGGCATGTCTGCAGTCCTCAGTAGCACTACAGTGAAGTGTCTGGGGGGGACCCCTCCCACAAGACATGGACCACAAGTGAGGTGGACATAGGAGAGCTGTGTGGAGCATGATGTGCCTGGCTGCTGGAGGGAACCCTGCCCTGGTCCCAGGTCCCAGAGGTGCAGGTAAGACTCAGAACAGCACTCTGCATGTTGTGTAAATAAACTGACCCTTTAGGAGACATGGAAATAATACTCCGGGGAGGGGTCTCCTATGGCAGAGGGGACATCTCATGCATACAGTTTCTTAACTGCAAAAGAAAATCTCCCAGTTAATGCTGCATGCACATGACTTCCCCTTTGTATTGCACTGCAGGAAGATGGACCCTGGCAGTAACCTAGAGTTACTGAGCTGCCTCAGTAAACCCAGGGCAAACCCACCACAAGATTTCATCACCCTACTGTGAGGTCTCATCAGCTCTGGCCCCTGCTTTTTGCTGCTGCTGCTGCTGCTGCTTGACAATTTCAAGGTGATTCCTATCTGCACAAGCCATCTCCACCTCTCTCAGCTTATGGCTGCCAGGGTGTGGATCAGAATATGCATTTACATAATATCCCATCATGATTTCAGGAGGGGTGGCAGCCTCTTCTCTACTGGAAATTATTTTTCAAGTTTGGGCATAAGAAACCTTATACTATTTGCATAGCCATTTGAGAGGAAATGACATTATTTGGAAAAATGTAGGGCACACATTTTGTCAGTGGAAGATTCAGTTGCTACTGAAGCCTATAGTTCGGGGGTAAAAAGACATTAGGTAGGGTTTGCTCTACAAGATGCTACAAGGGACAGAAATGTCCCCAAGTTCAAGTTCTGCTTTGCTTCCCTCATTCTACCAAGCTGCAGAGTGGATTCTGAGCATCCAAACATCTAGGGTTTGAACTGCAGTGCAAATATGTAAAACCCCAGACAACTGAGGAGTAAAAACTGAAGAAAAGCTTTTTGGCAAAATGCAGTTTTAAATACATGCTTAAATAATTTAAGAAACCCAAAAACAACAACAACAACAACAAAAAAAAAAAAAAACAAGAAAGAAAGAAAGAGAAAAGGTAATGCTAATGCTGTGTTTTGTTCTAATGCTCCAGCCACAGTCAGAAAGGAGAGGAGCAAAATTTGCAGACTGGAAGGGTCACTGTGGGAAATGCACTTGGCCTAGGAGGCTGAGGGTGTGTTAGATCCACTATGAGAGCACCAACCAGGGCAGTATCAGGCACCTGGTGGAAGCAGAGGCCGGGACCCAGTCACTGAGGCCCCTACGGCTGAGGTGGGAGAGTCTTTCCTCCATCCTGGGGGTTCTTCCCTCCCATGCCTGCAGGGCTGCAGCATGGATGCAGTGGGGGAAAGGCTGTAAGGCAGGCAGTGCTGGGCTCTTCTGCATGTTGCACACTCCCTGCGCCTCTGGGCAGCAGGAAAATTCAATTCCTCCTCGCTGGAAAAAGAGACTCTGAAGAAAAACTCTTGCTGTCCTCTGAGAGTCACTGGCACAGGTGAACATGGTAGCTTCTAGGGTGGGGAGGGCAGCACCTCCCCACCATGGAGGGGCTCTGCATGATCTCATGTGTTATGGTTTTAAAAATTAGTCATAAACAATGTGTTGATTTTCTGAATACCAAGAATCCTTATTCTTATGTTTGAAGTTTCTGTACTGTGCATATCCTTCATTATATATAAATGAAAATTAAATCTTCCATTCTCACTCATCTGTTCAAGAAATTAAACACTACTTATTCTTAACTAAGTTGAGCATAAGAGAAGAAATATTGAGTGGAGCACTGTCAATAATGCAGTGGAAATGGAAAATGGAAAAACCACAAAGGCTTCCCTCCCAGGATAATGGTCTGCCCTCCACTAGCTCCTCTCTCCAGTCCTTGCCTGCCATGTGTGCCTGTGTCTCTTCACTGCTGAGTGGAGAGAGGGCCAGGCCACAAGCTCTCTGTCATATCAGGGAAGACCAGGGAAATGGCCTAGGACATGGCTTCCTTTCAGCATTTTCAGTGCCTGTTAGTTTGTAATTCACTTGGCAGCTTTGTTGTGGTAAATTCATGGTTTCTAACTTTTCACACTATGAGTAAGAAGAGAATACATGTGACTGCCAATCTCATTTTTTATAATGAAGACTTAGCAGTGGAATTTCTAGGTTAAATGTATACAGGTTGAATTTCATAATCAAATATTTCATACCTGAAGTCTCCAGTTTGAGTCGGAGTCTGGAAGAGGAAGTCTAGGGGTGCTCAGATCTCTGTGGAGATCTGATGTCAGGAGAAAATGGACCAGGCAGAGGTACAGGACACCGTTGCACCAGAGGCAAGAAAGGTCCAGTTCTGGGCTTCTTGATCCACAAGTCAGCATCTCAGCAAAGAAGCACACACTGCACACTGGACAGAAGAGGGCAGGAAAGACCCTGCTGCCAGAGCTCCTACCTGCAGACCTCAGGCCCCCTGTCTCACACAGGTGAGATCTCTATGAAAAGGTCAGCCTGTTACAGAGCCCACATTGGCTGAATGTCTTCCACCCAAGCCAGATCTGAACTGCTGCATGTGGACTCATCATAGCTGTGAAGTGGGACAGGTATTTACAGTGAGCAGGTCAGGAGATGGGGACACTGCAGGCAGGCTAGGGTATGAGGCCTGAAATAAGATACGGGCACCTGACCAGCTCCAGTTTCCCCCAGCAATAGCCACCCGAGGAGAACAGTTTGCATTAAAAGACTAAGTAAATGAAAGGAGTGACTGACAAAAATACATACTACAGGGAGAGCTTGAAAATACAAAATAAATGGCGGCATCCCTAAGTAAAATGACACGTGACCTTAATGGGAATGTGGTCTCCACTGGAGTCACTGACCCACACACATCAGGAGCAAACACACTGATGAACAGAGGAAAAAATAACATAGGAAATGGATCAACAATCAAAACTGATTAATACCAACAACAAAAGCCAGGCTAAGATAAATGTCCCTCAAAAATTTTTCAAATGTGTAATAAAGAATAAGTAGTAATCATTTTTGGATTCTTCCAGGAAATTTACCAGAACATGGAAAAGTGAAGCACCACAATCAACACCAAGATCAATCCCAGTGCTGCAGGAATGGTTCCACTGCAAAAACCATTCAGTGTCACTTGTCTCTTTCACAGAATGGGGCACAGCTAACCCCTCAATAGACTTGGAAAAATAGCTTTCAAAAATTCCAAAGTTGAACATTCTGTCATGGGAAGAACTACTCACACACACCATGTGTAGGAAGAATGGGCCTCAGTGCAGCATAGGCTATGCAGGTATGATGATCTTTATTATGAGAAGTCCATCCCTGACATGGTGCTCAGAGGCAGACAAACTGCAAGATTTTCTACTCAGATCAGGAACAAGACAAGACTTGCAAATCTTTTCAACATAATATTTGAAGTCCTAACCCTAGAATTTAGTTAAGAATAACAAAGCAATGCCTTTCAAATCAGAAAGTAAGAATTAAGAGTTGGCTCTGTTTCCTGAGGACACAACCTTGCATATAAGAAACTTAAAACTCCACTGAAAACCTTTTAGGGTTAAATTTATAAATCACTTAAATTGTGAGATACAAGATCCACATGTCCTAATCAATTCATTTTTATGCACTTCATACAAACTGTAGCCTCAAATACATAGAACACAATTTATTGCATAATTCATCAAAAAGAGTTAATGCTTAGGAAAAAATTAACCAAACTCACCTTTCCTTTAAAAACTGTAGAAACTGATGCAATGAGTGAAATGGCACTAACAGAAGAAAAGACACACTGTGATGGTGGATGGGAAGAATTCATGTTGTTACAATGTTCAGGATACCCAGAGCAACCAGCTGTTTCAGTGCCATTCATGTCAAAGTATCACTAATACTTTCCTAGAAAAAAAAAATGAAAATTCACAAGGAATTACAAAGAGTCATCCTACAGCCTAGGAAAGAACATTAAAAGGAAAGGCATCAAAATACCTGGTTTCCAGGTATATTGTAAATTGAAGGCAGTCAAAGGATCTTATACTGCAAGAACAGGACGGCAGATTAAAATGCATAGCCCAGAGACAAACCAATTCATAGTCACCAGGAATTTTGTTTTATTTCTTCTTTCCTTTCCTGTCTGTTCCCACATGTTTATTTTCTTTTTCTGGTCAGGGTCTCCCTGTGTCATTGTGGCCTGAGCTGAACTCAGAGTGTGTTGCAGTCTTGTGTGGAAATCCCAGGAATCCTGCTGCCTCAGTGGCCTGAGTTCTGACATTGCAGGCATTTTCACCATTCCTTGCTCATCAAATGAGTTTTTAACAACACTATAATGAGACCAGGTCTGGTGTGTGGCTTGTAATGCCAGCTGCCTGGAAGGCTGAGGCAGAAATATCACAAATTCAAGGATAGACCCACCAACTTAGCAACTTATTGAGAAACTCCTGAAAAAAAAGGAAGATTTTTAAAAGTGGAAGGTAATGGAGCTAAATGCAAAAGATCTGTACTCAATCTCTAGAAACTGAATGAAAAACCAAAACCATAACCAAAACAAAACCTTGGAAAGTAGAATGGGAGGGTAAATGTTTTACACTGGCCTGGATTTCTGGAGGGCAGTGTGCCCCAAGTAGCCTTAACTTTCACACCTTCCTTGGAATTTGATGTCAATCATTAATTTCCATGAGGGACCAGAGAAACAGAGAATGTGTTTCAAGGACACCAAGCCTCAGTCCCAGTGCAGAAGTCATTTGAAGTGATCTCCTGAAGCGCATGCTGACCACAGTTGGAAAAGCAGAGAATCCACAACCATTGTTAATGTGATTTTCAGTCCTACTCACTGAAAGAAAGTACAGGTTAGTAAGGTGGCAGATAGCTTAACTAGATTGACTCTTTCTGCAAAGTGTCTAAAGAGCAAGGCTGAAACTTTTACTACACAAATACACAAAATTACTGCCAATTACCAACTCAGGATAATGTATGTATACGTATATTCCCAGCTGTCTGGGAGGGAGAGGAAGAATGATGAAGGGTTTAAACTTAGCCTGGAATACTCAGGAAATTAGTGAGACCATGGGTCAAAATTTGTAAAAAAGCTAAATATTTTACAAATGTATGATAATATTGATCATTAAGAAATCATAGGGCAAGGTACATTAACCACTACTATTCTACAATCATTTTTATGTTTCCATAGACTTAAAAAGAGTATCCTTTTAAGGTCCTTATTACTATTTAAAAAATAGAAATCCCTTCATCAAATTCTGGTTCTAAATATAAATTTAGGAAAGTACAAAAACAATGATCATGATGTTCTTACAGAGGTAGCCAAATCCTTAGAGGGTATATTCAGTAGGGTATCTGTAGTCATCTCAGTAAAACATTCAAAAACATTGAAACAAAGCAAGTAGATCAATCTCTACATGATGGTAAACCTTATGCTAGGTGTGCTGACTGAAGTACACTTGCAAGAAACCTCACAAATATTTATATTTTGAATTCATAGGCGATTTTTGAAATTTTATTTAAAAATTTTTTTCTCTTATTCTTTCTTTCTTTTTTTCTTTCTTTTATGCTTTGTTTTGAGATAGGGTTCTGCTATGCAGTTCAGGCTAGACTTGATCTTCCCTTGTAGTCCAAGATGACCTCAAATTCCCAACAATCCATCTGCCTTCAGAGTACTGGAATGACAGGTGTGCACCAACAACCCTGACTGTGTTTTCCTTTTTAAATTTTCTCCAAAACAAAACTACAGAGTTATGTGATATTATTTTATTTTCTCAAGTTGATTATACAAAATTAAATCAGAAAGCACTGAAAATACACTGAGGGTGTTTCAAAATCCTCACCAAAAAATAACATAATGTAACATAAAATAGCATAGCATAGTATAGCATAAGAAAACAAAACAAAACAAAAAGCAACCACCTAACTCGGCTTTAAACAACTGCTTCAAAGACACTTTAAGAATTTCTGAGTTGGCCATACACCAGCAATATGATTCAGTAATTTCATATTTAAGTACTTTTTCTTGAAAATAAAAGCCCGTATCCACTCAAACCTGTGTTAAAAAATGGCTGTGGCAGGTGAATTTCAAGTGCCGACCATGGAATAGAACAAAGGGCCAACAGCAGATGGGTGACAGGTCACGAAGAAGTCACACGTGGTTGGTTCAGCCCGATATTAGTGGTTTGTGGCATCAGAGGGTGAGTCCAGGACTGAGACACTGCTTGGATGAGACCAACCAAAGAGCATCACAACTGAACAGGCACAGTGCCATCACCTCTAGGAAAGGCAAACTACCCAGCAGGGACACAAAGCCAATGGTCTGTTTGGGATGCGAGGACAGGAAGTGATAGCTGTAGGTAGGAGACAAGTTTGCCAGGAGTGATACACATATGTCCTTCATCAGCATGGAGTGATGATGTCCACAGCCTGGCAAAGCCTCCTCTTGCACTCACCACCTGCTGTTTCCCCTCACAGGATGTCAGAGTACAGAGCACTACAGTGTGTGGTTGAGGTAAACATCTAAGGATGAGTAAGTAATCATTCATAGGCACGTGAGAGTAAAACTTGCTATGAATCCTCCTTCCCTGGACAGACAGGGGTTATAACATGAAACATTCACATCCTTAAAAAAATTATTATGTGTGTTCTAGGAGCATCTCCATGCTCACTATTGGAATTGAAATGAAACTATCATAAGCCCAGAAAAGAAAGTCCTCGGAAAATGTGACAGATCTGTCAGTGAAGACAGTGAACAACTCATACTCAGAGAGAATGGACACTTTGGATGGAAATGTGTGCTTGGCACAATGCCTGCCACATCTGAAGCATCTACATGTTTGCTGCATTAAAAACTTCAAAGTGTAAAACCACACACAGTTTTCTAGTTTTTCACTTTGCTGTTTCTAAGGTGAATACAGATTTGTTCCACAATAAAAAGACAAGGGTCATCAGAGGGGGAGGCCCAGCTATGGACACCAGCCTGTGACCTCATTTCTTTGGCAACAGGCCTTAACAGAACTCTGAAGGCTCTGGTCACGAGGCACCTTGGTGTGGCGACAGCCTTCACAGGCACATAGCTCAATAGAGTGACCAGTGTATATGCTGTGCTGCTTTCCCATGCCTAGAAGCCTCAGCCGGACCCCACATGAGAAAATCACCTGGGAATAAGTGAAAGGATGGTTCACTTGGCCCAGATGCTTCAGGATGCTCTCAGAGAACTGCCCAACAGACAAGTCAGCACTGGGCAGGGCTCACTGGCCCAAGGCCCCTGGTGCCCAGACATAAGAGGGACCCCAGGACAGATGTCCCTAGGCTTGGCCACCAGCCACTCAGATATACTGAATCCAGACATGTCTCTTTAGGCCTGGCCACCACTGTGAGTCCCCCTAAACAATTCCTGCCTAGGTCATCAGTCTGAGGGAGGTTGAGGAGAGGCACTGAGGGCAGATTCTCCTGGGTAGGGGCAGGTACTGGGAATCTCTGAGCATGGGTCACTGTCATGTTCTTACCCACAGAACAAGGCTGGCAGAAGGAAAAGGGCAGTGCCCATGTTTATCCACAGCCTCCATAAACATCTCCTATGGTTCTGGGTAGAAGTCTGGGACAGAGCTGTCTGTCTTTGAGGAACATAAGATTATCTAGATTAACAACATAAAACCTGTGGTGTCTCAGAGCCTCAGGCTTCCTCCAGGCTGCTGGGCACTGCTGCTACAGTGCTGCACACAGACCATTGGCCTGGAGCTCTTCCCTGGGCCCTGTGTGCCATGTCCCTGCTCCAGATACTGGGACCCACAATTACAATAGGTATGGGCTCCGGTGCAGGGTGTGTGAGCAGAAGGGACTGTAAGGAGGCCCACAGATGACTGAGAGGAACTTTGGGCACATCGCTCCAGGGCTTGTCAAACACTGGGTCCATAGTCCTGCTACCAAGGAAGCTGGACTCCCAGTGCTCAGCTACCATATCCTCTCTACTCAGTCTCTACCTTGTCACAGACAAGATCACTCTCCACATGTTGGTAGAAGCAGGAGAAAGGGACATAGAAACAAAGTCACTTCATTTATTGTCATGATTGAATTCTACCATTGCACCTCATTGTCAGTCCTGGGCCTGGTGTCCATGGACCATTAGCTGGCTGTCTTTCCACCCTGTCTCAAGCTCTTACATATCATCACCTCATCAGAGATGTGTTCACCTCAAACGTCAGTCCACTCTGTTGATTTATCTGGCACTTGTGTTACAGAATTTTTTTCAGGCACCGCAGTTCCTATTGCAGGAGCCTCTGGGCTAAATGAGAACAAGAGAGCAGTGAACACAGCTGCTCACCTTCCATGGCTATGGAAGAGGAACTTAATTCCTTCATGGGACATTTCATCAGAAACCTGAGGAGCATTCTGTGGGCCTCATTAGTGAACTTGGACATCCAGAATGAGCCTCTGTTTTCTCATGTCTAAAATGGGGACCATCTTATTACTCATAGTTTTGTTCATGCATAGAGTTCTATTCAGCCTCTCCTCTATCAAGGTGAACTGAGCATGCTAGTATTCCTAAGTGTCCCTCATGAAAGATAACTTTCAATATGAAATTCCCCTTTCTGTTGGGGTCCTCCTGTGAGCCTTGTACCATGAAGCCCTGTGGACCATTTAGAGTGTGGGCTTTTCTTCAGCCCCAAACCCCCGAGATGCCATGTGCAGGACATCAATTCCATGTCTCCCCACTATCTCACCACAGATGGGAACTCAGTCACCAGAGAACCTGGCAGAGGTCTGTATGGCAAGCCTGGTGCAGGCAGATGGGCCTCACAGCCTGAGGAAGCCTCTGGAGCCAGCTTTCCTGGACAGCTGGCCCAGCTCCAGCCACTTCTCTCTGGACTTTTCTAGGGCTGAATTCTCAGCCCCAGAGGCACCAAAGCTGAGGTGAGTTCTTACCTTAGCAGCCCAGAGAGACTTGACCACCTGCGGATTCAGGTCCTGGTCATGTACAAGGGACTCACTCAACCCCAGTTTTCAATACTGAATGGTGGTGTGCTGAGTGGATCAAGACATCAGGGTTCACTGAGGATGAAATGGGGGTTCCACAGTAAGTGCTTAGCTGTGGCCTTGGCTATTGTAGAGGCTGTGCTGAAGACCTATTTTAGAGGCTGTGCTGATTCCCATGGATGATCTTCTATCCCTCTCACTGACCAACACTTGGGGGAAGCAGTTCTTTTCATTGGAAAGGAGACTGGAGATTCACTGTCTGGGCTTCAGGGATTGTTCAAAGCAGGAAATCTTGAGTATAGCAAAGCATCCATGGTTATCAGATGTCATGAAAGACAAGTGTAATCAACCCACAAATGTACATGAAGACACACTGTGTGCAGACATTTTTCTGGGTATTGACCATAATCCTGTAATCAGAGCAGGTGCAACAACTGCCTTTTGAGTTTTGATGTTCTTTGGAGTCCAGAGTCACCCTTGGCAACAGAACAGATACTGCTCACCTCAAGGCCATTGTTTTGGTCCCCACGTCTCCCAGATGAGGGTATAGACCATGCTCAAGGAGTTATACAGAGGCAAAGAGAACTGGACAATAGATCACTGCCTGAGCTAGAGATGGCAGAGAGGCAGGAGAGACACCAACTTACTCCTCACCTATCAGATATTCATGGAGTGGCAGCCCTGAGCCCTTGAGTGCAAAGACAGGGAAGGTTCCAGTTCTCACCTTCACCAAGCTGACCTGCACTGGGGAAGGGCAGGGAAGCACTGTCAGGCTTCCCTGAAGAAAGTAGACATGTGATACAACTAAGCAAGGGCTCCCTCCCATGGAGACTTCTTTCAGCCACTAAGGTCTCCTTAGGCCTATACTGCCTCACTGTGGGTGGGAGAGGGTGTGGCTGGATCCTGTACAGCCTGGGCAGGAGGCTCATACAACCTCCCTACAGGTGAGTTATGCATGTAGTGCTGGAGGAAAGACCAGGCCTCTCACTCTGCTCCTTTCTTCCCTGTACCAGGTCCACCTCTTCTGTGCTTGACTCTGCATTGGAACTCTACTCACATGTGGATCCCCAGGCTGAGCTTCTCCTAGACCAGCTAGAGACTCCTGAACCCCCCAAGGCTGAGACCCTAGGGTAAGTAACCCTGGGATGTGGGATGTGGGCTTGTGGGAGGGGATGGGCCTTGGAACTCAGCAAAGCACACAGATGCTGGGGACCAAGGAGCATGAGACTCTCAGCAGTCAGTGGGAGGATGTAATCTACAACTGTGTTGCTTGGGCTATGTTGGTGCACATGGCTCCCTCTGACAGCCAGTGGGAAGGTTTTGCCCCAAGAAACCCATCGACAGTTGGTTATCTTTTCTCTTCTTGGAACTGTTGAGCCAGTTTCAGGCCATGCAGAACTTGAACCTGCTGACCTTGTGCCAGCTCTACCTGCAGCTCCCTCACAAGCTCTGGCCCCACAGCAAGAGCAGGCACCTGGATTCCCTTGTCCACCAGCTACAGAGCTGGACCTCCTGGTGGCTCCACAGCAGGGCTTTTTTCTTGAACTCTACCTCCTTGCAGCTCTTGACCCAGACCTGCCATTCCCATCTCTTCCAGATTTATTTATCATTCTATTCACTGCTACTCTTATTTCCCAGAGATATGTGTTAGAACAAATATAAATAAAATGTAAGATTTTAGTATGGTTTAAAGTAATCAGTGCATTCTCAATGTTGTGCAAATTTCACCACTGTTCAATTCCAGAATATATTCTTCAAATTTTTTTACCCAAAGGTGTTTTCTTTTCTTTCCCCTTCTGCTCTGTCCGAACCCCAACTGATCTTACATCCTCATAATTAATCTATGTTACATTTCCCACAGGAAAGTGCCCCTTACCTCTGTATATCTGCTGTCTTGGCCCACATCAAGTTTTCTTTGGCCAGAGAATGTTGGCAGTGACTTTTTAGGCTTAGAGTTAGGATTACGGTTCAGGTTAGTGTAAGGGTTAGGGTTGGGCTAAGCTCCCAAATATTACATCATTGCCCATTGCATTGATATAAAGAAAAGAAAATCCAGACAAAGCAGCACCTTGTGCTCACCATGTCTTGTCCCTGAGATGTATGCTCAGTGCAGGCAACTTTGAGAACAGTCACTGGTCGATGGATTGTACCATTATACACAAAGTAGGGCCTAATTTCCATTCTACATATCATATGAGCCATAGACCTATAACCAACATAAACAGTATACACTGTAAATAGGTACTAATAAAGTATACAATGATTTATAAACCAAACACAAAGCAAGAAAATCCACTTCTGACATGTGGGAAAAAAAGAGCAACAGATGAGAAGCCTGACACAGGAAAGATGCACTCTAGCTGGCAAGCAATGGGTGCTTCATGCAGATGCAAACCTGAAGAGCAAAGCATGAGCTTTAAGTCCTTGGTAATGGAGTCTCTGGCACCAATCTTACTATCATAGGAACATGTACTTTTATACTTTGCTCTATGCCCAACCTAACATAGACACATAGAAATCTAGATGTGTGCTGGCTGCCCGAGATCCCCAGAAGCAGTTCATTCTTGGGGAGACAAGTGAACCCACACTGCCAAAAGCTGGTGATGACTGAGTCATGGAACAGAAAGTGAAAACCAAATGCAGACAAATCTGGAGGAGCCCTCAGTGTGGCTCCCAAGCCCTGTCTCTGTAGCTCTGCTCAGACTCCTCATTTCTAGCAAAGCAATCAAAACTGCTGTCTCCTCTCTGGCCTCAGGATACAGGCTCAGAAGTGGGTCTAACAGTGACAGCTGAAAGTGCCCCTTACCTCTGTATATCTGCTGTCTTGGAGGAGAAAGCCCCTTATCTTCCTCTACCTTTCTCTCCTGCCTCTCCCACCAAGTTTTGAAGGCTGAGCTAGTGCCAGGCAGTCTGGGTGGAGAAGATTAGCAGAGCCTTCAACATTCTTTTATCAGCATACTTTTTATATATGACATACTTTGTCATACACACACAGCTTGAGAACAGTCACTGGTTGACAGATTGTACCATTATGCACAAGGTAGGGCCTAATTTCCATTCCACCCATCACATGTGCCATGGACCTATCATCAAAATAATCAGTAAACACTGTAAACAGCTATTAATAAAAATATACTAATAAAAAATAATTAAGGATCTCATGATGAGTTGTGAGACAGAAAGATTTAGCAAAAAGTGACAGTTACCTGGAAGGAACTTTGCACTGTACACCAAGACCCTAGCATCAATATGGTGGGGAAGGAAATATATGGGATTCTCACCCCACTCTGCAGCCACTCAGACCTCAGCCGGCCCATTGTGCATCTCAAGGATGTTTGCCTCCTCCCACTACACTTGGGTAAAGCCTCCCTGACACCTGGACCTGAACACTAGGTATTTGCCTCTGGAGTCAATGGCAGAAAAGTGAGAACACAGCAGCACCTGGCAACTAGCAGGCAAGACAGAAATGGCAATGGCCATGACCACCTTACCTGAGAGTCAGTCCCTGAGACAGTGGCACGTTATACACATGTAAGCCTTGGGCCATCTCCTGTCTGGGTGCTGTTCACTCCTGAAAGAACCAGAGACATACTAGTAGCAGAGTGATGACACTGCCAGGCCTTATAACACAGTCAGTTGGTCTTGGGAAAGGACAGAGACTCATGGTAACAGTGGGGCGGAATTTGTCCCCAGACACAGTTGGGCTTGGGCATCCTTATTTCCCTCCCTTCCAATGTGTGGTCCAGATCTTTGGTCCCTGCTTCAAAGTCTGGTGCACTAAGCCTTTAGTCCCTGGCCAGATCCAATTCTGCCCACCCCACAGGAGCCATTTCAAAGTTACTGTTTCTACCTCGATTCGGCCAGATAGGAGTATCTGCATTTGTCTCCCCACATATCCAGATACGCATGCATCACATGGTAACCCAATGCTTAGGTCAGCTCCTTAGATGCTCCACTGATAGGGGTTTTCAGACTGACCTTGAGACCTAAATTCTAAGCACCATGTTCTAAGAAGAACTTCTAGATCTGGGAACCAACATTAGGGGCTCATAGTAACCTCAATCCTAGGCCCTGGACCAAGCACAACACAGGATGGATTAAGCTTGCTCTAAGTGATAACCCATCAGCCATACCTGTGGGTACAGGATTCTCTCTGGGACAAAAAGGGATGGAAGGGGCACAGAGCAGCCCCCAGGCCAACCAGGGTTAGCACAAGCCTAGCTGTGTGCTCTTAGGAGAATGATATATAACAGGAGGAGGGATGGATGCCTGAGGAATTAGGGAATAGAAGATGGAAGAGCAGAAAAAGGCCCCAAGTTTCTCAATGATGGACACCTGATTTTGTCAACCACCATACCTTTTGGGTGACAGCAGAGAACAGTGACATCTAGACTTTGGGCAGCTACACATGCAGTGCCTCCTCCTTTGATTCCATTCAAAGTTCCAAGGAAGATTGGAGTGGAAAAGGAGGGTAGAAAAAGTCTGGCAGGGGAACCACAAAAGAATTAGTGTGGAAGGATGTCTTGAGCAGGTGGCAGTGGTATACACTCTGCGTTGCCCCATTTGGCTGCCAGACACAGCCAGTGTCCACTGCCACCCTGACTCAATACCACCAGTCAGGGATCTCCCTAATTCATTCAAGAGGGCCATCCCGATGCCCTGACAGGCACTGAGGTCCATACACAGAGAAGGGCTGCCTACCTCTGTGGGATCCAGCACCTGCTCCTGCCCTTGTTCTGTGCACTTTCTCAGTGTGATCAGCTCCAAGATGGTACAATATGTTGAGAATAGATGGCTTGCAGAGTCCATGGGGAGCCACCTTCAGGAGGGGTTGTGCTAGACATGTGTTGTCACTACCATGCCTTAATGCTGTGCCTGGTTTTAACACACTATAACACATAGAAAAAGTGAGTCCCCACGGGTTCAGGGATCAAGGGAGGCTAAGATATTCTGGTAAGAAGCTCCATTGTGTGAGAGTGGGGCCAACAGACACTATTGTCCTTGGCCTCCAGCCTGGGACTGACTCACCTGAGACCATGCTCCAACCAGTCTGCTGGAGAACTGCATGTCTGCTCTTTGGGGAGCTACGTTCCAGGTCCAGGTCAGAACATTTGAGAACTTTAATGCCTTGTGGGGTACAGAGTAGGTATGGAAGTGGGGCAAATGTCTATCACATAGATCAAGAAATGATCTCCAAGGCACAGGCATGAAACTCGATCTCTTTTTAAAGTTGTACCCCACAGAGATTTGTGCCTCAGGATGTGATGAATGCCTTGGAACAGGGCACAGGGGCTGTTAATCACACACAACTTTAGTATTGTGGGGTATTAAAGTTCCCTGTGTCTGTGGTATGGGATTTTCTCAGAGTTAGGGAGGTGAATGGGTATTTTAGTGGGTAAGATGCCCAGAGAAAATAAACCACCTGAGCCAACATTAGCAATAGCAGTAAGCAAGTGTCTCTCTCTATATATATCTCCATCTGTATCAGGGAATGCATTCTTGTGTACTGTTACAAGCTTCAGCATATCCATGGCTGTCTATGATAAGTCATGCTTATAGAATTGTGTTCATGCTGTTCATATGCTAATTAATTAGGTGAGGTCCATACATGTCCTCAAAGTCTTTGGGGCTGAAGCACTGTGAAGTGGTTTCCCATATTCCACCAATTGAAAGATGAGGGAAAATGTGTTTATTGTAAGTGACCCCTAGGGTGGACTCATGCACACAAAGACCACAACAACAATAAATGTAAAGCATAATACCACTAATCCCACCACAGTGCAGCTTATGGCCATGCAGAGTCAGGTGGATCCCAAGGATTCCCATCACTGCATGAGCAGATCCTGCTGCAAGGCCTGGAGGGTAGAGAATACCAGATTCATTTCTTTTTTAAAAAATTTTTTATTTAAAGAAAGAAAAGAAAATGAAAAGAAACAAAATAGAAAAAAAAGTAGAATAGAGAAATTTTTAAAATTTAACATCATAAAACCATTGGATGATACATTATATATTGTCACCTTAAAAATAGTTGTTAAAGTTACAAAAACAAAGTGTAAAAAGTGGCTAACTACTTAAACATAGGCAGTACAAACCCTTCTTTTCAATATCTCACAGAAATGTAGTAATATGGGCATCTATCTTACACATTATACATATCATTATTTCCTTTAGAACACTATTTTCCCTTTCTCCTTTGCAATATTTTATACTTTTTGGATCTCATTACTTGGTCAGTTTTTTTTTTTATTACTTTTAACACCATAGAGATAATGTGATATTTACTAATGTGAGTCTTTTAATTTCACTAATGAGCACATTGTCCACTTGCCTACATTTACCAATAAAGGCCTCAAGATCATCCTTTTCTATAGCTGAGTAGTTATCAATTGTGTAAAAATACATTCTTTTCATCCACTCTGCAGTTAATGAGCATTTTGGTTGTTTACAAGATTTACCTATCACAAATTGTGCAATGAACATGAGTGCACATATATCACTGTGACATGACATTTTCAATTTTTCTTTGAAAATTCCTAGAAGAAAAGCAGGATTGAATGGAACTTCAAATCCTAGGTTTTTGAGGAATCTCCATACTGATTTCCACAGTGGCTGCAACAGTCGGCACTTACACCAACAGTGGAGAAGTGCAGTGGTGCACTTCACCAAGATTTGTTATCAGTTGATTTCTCGATGGCGGTCATTCTTTCCAGAGTGAGATGAAATCTCAATGCTGTCTTAATTTGGAATTCTTGAACAACCAATGATGGTGAACATTTCTTTATATATTTATTTGCCATTTGTATACCTTCATCTGAAAACTGTATATTCATCTCTGATGCCCATTTTTGGAGAGGGTCTTGGAATCTGGGGGATTTGATGTTTTTCAATTCTTTATATGTTCTGGATATGAATCCCTTGTCTGAAGGATAGTTAGTTAAAATTATTTCCCATTCTGTGGGATTTCTGTTCACTTTGTTGGTGATTTCCTTTGAAGTTCAAAAACATTTTAATAATATGAGATCCTGGTTGTTGATTTTTTGAAGTATTTCCCATACAGCTTGTGTTTTATTCATGAATTCTCTGCCTAGCCCTATGTCTCCAAGATTTCTACCTAACTTGTCCTCCAGTAGATTTAGTGTTTCTTTTTTAACTTTTAGATCCTTGATCCATTTTGACTTTAGTTAAATGTATAGTGATAGGCATGGGTCTAGTTTTAGTCTTCAGCATGCGGAAAGCCAATTTTTCCCACACCATTTATTAAAAAGGCTATCTTTCTTGCAGTGAACATGTTTAGCTCCTTTGTCAAATATAAGGTGGCTGAGTGTCTCTGTGGCAGTGTTTATATCTTCTATCTGTTCCACTGATCCTATGGTCTATTTCCTTGCCAACAGCATGCTGATTTTATCACCGTGGCTTTGCAGTATAGTTTCAAGTCAGGAATTGAGATGCCTCCTTCTTTGTCTTTGTTGTCCAGTATTGCCTTTGCTATTCTAGGTTTCTTCTGTTTCCAGATGAATTTGGGGGAATATTTCCTCTAGATCTGTAAGGTGTGTTAATGATATTTTGATTGGGATTGCATTGAATATATATAACAGTTTGGAGAGTTTCACCATTTTCACAATGTTGGTTGTTCCTAACTATGATCAAGGAATATCCTTTCATTTTCTAATATCCTCTTCAATCTCCTTTTTTAGAGTAGTATAATTTTCATCATATAGGTCTTTTACATTCTTGGATAGGTTGATTCCTAAGTATTTCATTTTTTTGATGCTATTGTGAAAGGCGATATTTCATAATTTCTCTCTCTTGGAGATTTTGTGTACAGGAATACTATTGATTTTTGAGTATTGACTTTCTATCCAGGTATGCTGCTGTTTATCATCTTAATAGGCTTTTAATAGATTTTTGGTGGTCTTCTATGCAAAGTATCATGTCATCTGCAAATAATAACTTAACTTCTTCTTTTCCTATTTTTATTCCCTTTATTTCTCCATCTTGTCTGATTGCTCTGCTAATAGTTCCAGAACTATATTGAATAGGAGTGGTGATAGTGCACATCATTTTTTTGTTCCTGATTTTAGTGTGAAGGCTTTCAGTTTTTGTCCACTTAGCATAACATTGGCTGTAGGTTTGTCATAAATGGTCTTTATGAGACTGAGGTAGATACCATCTATTCTGACTTTCTGTAGGGTTTTCATCATGAACAAGTGTTGGATTTTATCAAAAGATTTTTCTGCATCTATTGAGAAGTTCACGTGATTTTTATTTTTGGCTCTGTTGATGTGGAGTATTACATTTATTGATTAGCATATTTTGAACCATGCCTGCCATCTTGGAATCAATCCCAGTTGGTCATGCTACATAATCCTCTCAATGATTTGCTGCATTCTATTTGCCAATATTTTATAGAGAATCTTTGAATCAGTGTTCATTAGTGAGATTGGTCTGTATTTTTCCGCTTTGGTTGTGTCTTTCTCTAATGGTATCATAGTGATACTTGACTCCAAGAATGAGTTAGGGAGGACTGCTTCTCTTTCAATTTCATTGAAGAGTTTAAGAAATATTGGAGTCAGGTATTCTCTAAATTCCTTATGAAATTCAGCCGTGAATATATCAGGACCTAGATATTCCTTTGTTGGTAAGTTGATAAATCATTTTCAATTTCAGTAGCTGATACTGATTTACTCAGAATTGTTATATCTTCTTGATTGAGCCTCAATAATTCATGTTTCTAGAAATCTGTCCATTTCCTCTGTGTTTTTGACTCTATGTGAGTAGAGATTTTCAAAGTATGTGTTCATGATCTTTTGAATTTCCATGGCATCTGTACTAATTTCCATCTTTTCAGTCCTTATTGTGTGGATTTGAATTTTTTCTTTTTCTTAATAAGAAGGTTATCAGTTTTGTTTATTCTCTCTCTCAAAAAAAAACCCAACTCATTGATTCGTTAATTTTCTGCATTTTTTTTAGTTTCAACTGCATTAATTTCTGCTCTAATCTTTACAATTGTCTCTCTTGTATGAGCTTTGGGTTTGACTTGCTCCTCCTTTTCTAGAAACTTGAAATGTAGCATTAGGTTATTTATTTGTTGTAGGGAGTGGTGCAACTGCCCCACTGCTGTCTCCCCGCCTCTCCCTCCTATGGGCACATAATGCACCTGCCTACATTAACCATAGTCCTCTCCTACTTACGTCACATACACAGACATGATGATGACCCATCAGAGATTACCCCATAGCCTCTTCGTGTCCCACCAGCCCACCCCTGCCATATAAAACCAGTGACCACTTTATTAATAAATGAGACTTAATTGGACTCCCTTGACTTGTCTCTGACACTCTGTGTCTGGCCCTGTCTGTGTTAATCCCCATCCCTTCTCCAGGAAACTGCCCCACAGATCTGAATTGACCTGCAGGCCGGGTCAAGTGGCACCTGTCATGGGGCTCTTGGCATGAAGGGCTCAATGAGGGAGCCATCCTGAGACACACGCATAGAAGTGAAACTAAAAGTTTTGTGACCAACGCTACGCAGGAGCCTGTCGCGCCGCTAGAGTCATGGTAAGTGGACAGCAATCCTTTTCCCTTTTCTCTGGCATGGGTCAGGCATTAAGCGACCATAAATGCTTTGTATCAAGTTTAAGTAAAGCTTTAAAGACAAGAGGGATAGAGGCTAAAGAAAAAGACTTATTGCAGTATTTTCAATTTATTCATAAGGTTTGCCCTTGGTTTCCTTTAGAGGGCTCTATTGATGCAAAAAGATGGGAAAGAGTAGGAGATGCATTAAAGGATTACTATCGGGTCTTTGGCCCTGAAAAGGTCCCAGTTACAGCCTTTGCCTACTGGACCCTAATCTTGGAGCTACTTACACAGCATTGCCAAGCCCCTCAAATTGATAAAACAACCACCCAAGGTGAAGTCACTTTACACGCTTCCACTTCGCCAACATCTCTCCCTTCAGGAGATGAATCTAAACCTTCTCCAGAGAAGCTGCAGAGCGAGCAGTGGCTTCCCCCAAGCCAGAGATCCAGAGAGGGAGAAAAATAAATACTGGAAAGGAGGAGAGAACATAAGAGGGAAAGAACAGGAGGTGGATCACAGTTATTTTATGTGTGAACCTTAATATTTGCATCACATGATGTCTACCATATTTGGTTATTTAAGAATGAGTCAGGAGCTGGTGAGACAGCTCAGTGTACAATACTTGCTGACAATGCATGCAGCCCTGGGCTCAATTTCAGTGCTAATGCAAAACAATAACACTAATAATAGTAAATAACTAAGTGAGGCCCATTAGGTAGGGAATGGATTACTCACGTTGTAGCCATCAGAAAGTTAGCTGTCACCTATTGAGTAGGACCAGTCATGGGTGTGGTGACTCACATAGGTGTGAATATAGAAGCACTGCCAGTAGATTTTGGGGTGCAACTCCGTCCATAGTTCTTGCTTAGCCTGTGTGAGTTCCTAACTTGAGGGCATAACACCAATACGTAGAAGAAATTGCGATATTTAGGGAACATAAAGATGACTGAATCAATGAAATTCCGCCCCTTCACAATACTACCAGGGAATACGTCCAGAAGTTGTGTGTCATTTCTGCCACCAGGCAGTGGGGGCCAGGCCTATGTGCACTGTATTCCACATCCATTGCACCCCTTCCTGGATTTAACCTCTAATTCTGTACAGTATGTCTATGTGATATCAGCCCAAAGGCATTACAATT